TGGGAAGGTGGCGGATCTCAAAGACGAGCCCCTGTTTCCTTAATCCCACCTACCTACGGCCCTTGATTATATGAAGTTAGGACCTCCTGAACCCCAAATCCTAAACCCCAAACCACAAACCCCAAGCCCTGAACCCTAAACCTCACCCTTGCTGAGAGAAGCCGGGCTATCCACGACCCCGGAACGAAGCAGCGAGGCCAGTACCCTGAAACTCCTGAGCCCTTAACCCTAAACCCTCAACCGTTTAGGGGTTTAGGGTTTAGAGGTTTAAGGGTTCAAAATTTTGGGGTTTTGGGAGCTTTCCCTGAGCAATCTTGGAGGCCTTCGGAGCATTTGGGTCTGGAAGCCACGGCCGGAGTAGGTTTAAATCATGAGCACCAAACCATCCTTGAGCTTGTTGCTATAAATCCTAGGGTTCCTTTAAAGGGATCTATAAGGGTACCTTTAAGGGGCTCCTTTAAGGGATCTATAGGGTTTTAGGGTTTAGGTTGATGATATAAATCCTGCATTACCTTAAGGACCCTAAACTATGGGAATTATGGTATATTCTTCATTATGGGTAATCCAGAATCTATATCATCAACCGTACGTCCTTTCCCTGAACCCTGAACCCTACTTTGTGATTTGTGCTTTGAGGGTTCGTGGCCTCCATGAGCTCAGGTGTGCAGTGCCATGTTCCAAGTCCGGCAACGGTTCAGGGCTTGAGTTTAGTTTGGGGTTTTGGGCTTATATGTCTGGGGTTTAGGTTTCCTTCACCCCAAGGCCCAAAGCCCCAACTTAGAGCTTGAGCTTCCCAGTTTAGTGTTTCGGGTGTAGGGGGTGTAGGGAACCATGGCAGCGTAGACGCGAAACCGCCCCGAACCGAAGCGGGAGTTGCAGAAAGCCGGGGATCCCACGCGGACCTTGGGGAATGCTCCCTGTTGCTATCATTGGGCCGCTCATTCCTCCAGAGGGTCCAAGCACTTGCTAGGATCCGGATGAGAAGGGCACCAAAACAAGGAACCCCTAATTTCGGAAACTCTAAACCCTTATAGAGTCCTTTTAAAGGAACCCCTAGAGTACCCTTATAGCAGCCCTTTAAAGGAACCCTTAAGGTAGCCCTAATTCCGGATACTCCCGAATCGACTGTAGAGGCCGGTTTTAAAGCCCGTGTGACAGCCTGCCAGGCGCTTATAAGTCTTTATGAATAATACTCTTTCGTATGGGTAGTTCTCTAAATTTAGGGTCCCCAGTATAGCACGGCGTCTGTTTTGAAAAGGATCCCAAAAGGGACCCAAAGAGACCCTAATTTCGAGAACCACCGATATGCCATAAGACCATGATCGGGGTTATCAAGCCCTTTCTGACACAAACCCTAAAACCCTAAACCATAAACACTAAACGCTACCCGAACTCGTGCCCTCCCAGAGGTTCTACGACCTGCAGCTGAACGTCCGGGACGAGGCAGGCAACGACATCACCTCCCTGGAGGACCTTGGGTTCAGGGTTTCAGGGTTTAGGATTCGGGGTTTAGGATTTAGGGTTTAGGACTTAGAGTTTAGGATTGAGGATTTAGGATTTAGAGTTTAGGATTTAGGATTTAGGGTTCAGGATTTTTGGGTTTAGGGTTTGCTGGAAGAGGCTGATGGTTGGTTAGGGTTGTTTGTTTGTAGAGGGTTTTACAAGGGTTTGTGCGTCTAATTTAAAGCTTAGAGTGTGGGTTCAAGATGGTTTAAAGATAATATGGGTTTCAGGCATTTAGGGTACTGGGGGGTTTGGGATTTACGCTGCGGGGCTAATGAAGTAAGACCTTCGGGATCTTTGTTACCTTCGATCCTCTTGGCTGTAGTTGTTGCTGTATTGGTAATGTTCTTGAGTTCAGTAGTAACGGTGACAGTAGGGTTCTTGAGTGCTGTAATAAGGGTGAGAGTAGGAGTCGTCCTCGTAGTAGTCGTGGTGGTGCTGGTGGTAGTAGTAGTCGTCGTCGTCATAGTCCCCGTCGTAGCACTGGCCGTAGCCGCAGTCGTAGTTGTTGTCGTGCAAACCTCATTTGGGGTCTCAATTTTTGAACATATATAGAGTTCTGCAGATAACCGAGGACCCTGAACCCTAAACTCTCAATCCTGAACCTTCAACCCTGAACCCCAGGAACCTAATCCAAACCCGAAAACGCGTCTCCCCAGCACCTTGCAGGACTCTTTGAAGGACTTCATTCGAGAGGAAGTCCTTGAGGAGCTTGGCGGGGAATCCAGATTGAAGGGGGGGTGAGGATTCCTAAAAGTGGAACTGCTGGATTCAGGCTTTGGGTTTAGGTTAGGGCGGTTGTGGTGCAGGAAAAAATATTGTGTATATGTATATAAACACATACACATATGTTTGGGTATATATGCACCTTCAAATCAGCGCGATTTAGCACTGACCATGACATGTTGAAAGCAACACGACGAGAGCGCCGCAGCCTGCCAGCCGAAGTGTGTTAAGGTTTAGGGGTTTGGGGCAGGGTTCATGTTGGAGCCCGGATATGGCGGGTCAAGTCCACGTAAGACACTTGTGGCCCCTGTGTAAGTCGTCGTTTCATTTGCATCCAAAGCCTTTTTCTGCCTCATTACAAGGCCTTAACGGACCCCTGATCCGGTTTCCTAGCTGCAAAAATTCGGATCCCCCAAACCCCAAACCCTAAGCGTCCTAAGCCCTGAACCCTAGACCCACCGTGGGGTCAGGGTGACAACGCCTACGATGCAGAGGGCCATGGCAAACAGCGAGCCCGAAAGGCCCTTCTTGTTGGAGTTGAAGGCTCAGCGTTCAGGTTAGTTTAGGGGCGTAGGGTTCGGGTGCCGAATGCATGAGCAGCTTCACTAATGTAGGGGCGTTAACAATTCGAACAAGATTTTCGGCCAAATGATCGTAGAGTTATTGTAAGGAATAATATTGGTAGTTATTCCGGCCTCGCACATTTTATAAGTCGAAAGAGGTTTTTGTAGCCGACGAACCTTACGTATTTTCAAAGGGAGTACTTCACCAAAGACATGTAGGTTCTTGCGGCTACAGGAAGACTCTCCGCTTTTTGATGATTGAAGTCCGGAACTCATAGTGCCGACTTGACAGAACGGATTGGGGTTTACGATTTCGGACTTAACCCTCAAGCCCAATCTAAACCCCTGGACAGCCGTCAGACCCAGCTACATCCCTGAGCCGAAAGTTGCCACTACTATCGCCACAGCCCGAATCCAACCACTCTGAACAGAAACCCTTCAAAATACTTGTCCGAGCAACATTAGCCCCTGTATGATCATGGACTATCATAGACCTCCAAACCCTATTCAAACCATAAAGACCCTGTGGTACCTTTAATCGACATGGCGTTGCAGTTTGCTTTTTTCCTGGGCTTGGGTGCCGGCTCTTGCGTATTCTTCGTTCTTGAAGGTACAGAAGGCGCACAGTCTCCCAACAAACCGGACACGTTCAGTTCCCCTTCAATTCCTGAACCCTACCTAAAGCTTACAATTCCAGAGACTAGTCCTTACTTGGAGGGTCGGGGGACGTAGTAAGTAGGTAGTAAGTAGACTTATAAGTACCCTAAAAGGGACCTTAATTGGGGTTATAGTACTTACTTGTCCCAAAAATAGCCAGTTACTAAATCCCCCGACCCTCCAAGTATGCTCTACGCACGAAGCCACAAAAAAACCCTATAAAGCCTACGGTCGACTCCACGGCTTTGCGCTGTTTCGAAGGGCATCCGCTTCAAGCGCTTTCCGCCCGTCTTGTACATCCAGCTGTCGGGGCCCTAAACTCTAACCTGAAACCCTAAACTCCAAACCCTGAACACTACCCTGCAACCCTAAACCCCAAACCCTGAACCCTAAATCCCAAACCCCAAGCCCTGAAACCCTAAACCCTGGCTTTTTGCCTTTGGAAGCTGTTTGGTTCGAAACCTATATAGGGGTTTCCGAAAAGAGGGGGTACCGTATTACTTTGGGGTCCTTATAATAAGGATCCTACTCTATCGGCCATATACAAAAGCGTATAAAGCCCTAAAAGAGCCGGATTTTATGGCTAGAAGAGCTCGGTATCAACCTTGCACCCTGTAAAAAGCAATCGGTAAGACTCGACACCGGGGTTTTCCGGAAGGTATCTGAGGGTTCAGGCCTCAAGTAGGGTTTCGTCTTCAGGGTGTTACGGTTCATGGTTTGGGGACCCTAAGCCCTAAGCTTTGCTAGGAAGGGGGCTTATTGTAGTATCCTTAAGGGAGGGGGGTCCAAGGGGGGTATATAGCCTAGTGATCCCTAATTCTCCCTAGTACTCCCTAAGGTTCCCTTACAGTCCCCTAAGGATTCCTTATACCCTCCCCCCTTGAACCACCCTCCCTTTGAGGATCCTATAAGCTTAGGTACAATTAGCGGTTTGAAGTTTCTGTCCACCAGGGTTGACATGGGTTCTCAGGGTTAAGGGTGCAATACAGGAGTTTCCGAATATTAGGGGGTTGCTTATTTGGGGGTCCTTTTAATAAGGATCCTACTATGTTAGGCTACTATGTTAGGGTCCCCTATTTTCGGAAACCTCCATATAGAAGCCTGAATCAGTATGCATACTTTAGGGTTCCTTATTTAAGGATCTCAAAAATACTGCCGGACCTTGTTCTTACTATAATGTTTGTAGGGTTCCGTATTCAAGGATAGTAGCAATGTACCGCCCAAGCCTTCTTCTTGTTCGCAAGCCCACCCCGTCAGATTGATAGATCCTAGGCTTCAGGGTGCTGTGAATGTTCCTTATAGGGGTTTAGGGTTTTGGGGGTTTAGGGCTTATGAAACGAGGGACCACTAGGAGTACTCCTCTTCCTCAGACCCACATTCATGGTGGGACGGGTATCTTCAGCAGCTACCAAGATCAGAGAAGCCTTGACCCCAAGGCTGTTGGCCAAGCATCTTGACCATGCCCCCGACGAGCCTAAACACCTTGGACACATGTCCCTTCGGGGGAAACCCCTAAACCCTAAGCCCTCAAAGACGCACTACTTCCACGAGGAAGCGGTTCATGTTCGATCCGGAAAAGATGGACATGCGCCACGCCCAGTTTTGCTTTGGGGTTTGCCTGAAACCCCAGCCCAAAATCTAAATCCTAAACATAGACCCTCCTAAGGGATCGAGGCTCCTATTCCCTCGGGTTTGCTACTACAAGTATGGTATAGGATAGTATAGTATAGTATATAATATGACATAATATGGTATGCCCCACCCGCTCAAAAAAACGAGTTTACTTGTTCAGGCCGGCATGTTGGAGCTGCAGCAGGGATTCGCTGCGGCAGTTCGAAACCCTATACCGTCCTCCGAATCCCTGAACGGGGTTAGGTTTTAGGATTTAGGGGTTTAGGGTTTAGAGGTTTGTTTGGGTCTTGCTTCCCAGCCAGAAATACGATATGGTAGGTAGGCTCGTTCAAGCCGCTTTACCGGAACATGGGGACAGGGCTGCGGTAGAGTCTTTCGTTGAAAGGGTAATGGGTACCGGGCGCCAGCAACTGTGGAAAAGGCATCATCCAACACCAGCAGCCACCGAGCATCCAACCGAAACCACCAAAGAGGAGAGAAGTCCCCTAAACCCAAAACCAAGAAACCCTAGGCCCTAGACCCCTAAACCCCTAAACCCCCAAACCCCTGAACCCCTAAACCCCGAAACCCTAAACCGCAAACCCCGAGCCCATAAACCCCCAAACCCTTGAACACCTAGACCTCTGGAAGGCCCGAGCCCGAAGGCTGTTGGAGGTTCATGGGTAGTTGTAAGTAGGATTAACAGTCCCTTCAAATAAGGGTAAACCTGTTTTTGGGTCCTTATAATGAGGATCCTAGTCTTTAGGGTACTATATTTTTTTGTCGCCTTTTTTTGGGAAACTGCAGGATGGTCTACAAAGTCTATGATTGTATATAGTCATCCTACTTTTTGCCCCACTTATTGCCACGAACCTCCAAGTAATGCCCCAAAACTCCAAGCCTGGGAACCAAGTCTCGTTGTCTTGGACGAAAGATTGGAACCGACATGGAGCTGCTACAATTTTTGTGGAGCTCGTGGAATGCAACTGCTTCAGAAAAAGAAGTCTACTGACACCCTCTACTCTAAAACTTGAGCTAGACCCTGAACCCCTAAACCCCTTAGCCTAAGCCCCTAACCCCTAAGCCTTCGCAACCCTAAACCCTAAACTCTAGCAAAGCTTTTCCGGAAGTAGCAGACTGCAGCCTTTGGAGAAAGGAGCTCAAGCAAAAAAAACCCTTAAAACGCTAAGCCTTAAGCCCTAACCCCTTAACCCTAAAACCCTAACCCCCTAAACCCTAGCAAAGAAGGCCGTCAACCTAACTTTAACAAAAAAGCCCTAGCTGAATGCTGAAACAAAACCCTAAACCCTAAACCCTAAACCCTAATACCCTAAACCCTAGCAAGGGGCAAGCTCAATGGCAAGATGGAGTTCCCCCAGGTTTTAGACCTCGAGGCTGCCTCAGGGGTCTAGGGGTTTAGGGGTTTAGGGCCTAGGGTTTAGGGTTTAGGGGGTTCAGGGTTTAGGGCTTAGGGCTTTAGAGTTCAGGGTCTTGAAGGTTTAGGGTTTTGAAGGTTTAGGGTTTTGAAGGTTTAGGGGTTCAGGATTTTGAGTTTTAGGGTCCCTTCAGGGCGCGCTCCGTAAGTGGCACTTTGCCCGGCTTGCTTGTCTGCAGAGCTCTGCAAAGGGCTCTGGAAAGTCATGGGGGTCTGCTTGCTTTTTCTTGGGGGGTGGGGTTGCGTAAGCCTTCAGGGTTTGAGGGTTTAGAGGTGCTGAGCTTCAGGGGTCCAGAGTTGCACGGTTGTTATAGGGTTTAGGGCCCAGGGGCTCATCGGGTTCGGAGTTTACGGTGTATGGCTTAGCAGTTTGCGTTGAGGGTGTAGTCTGCTTTCAGGGGAGCACGCTGCTTCAGATGAGAACAGATGAAAGCGGAGTTGAAGATACTAGCAGTGCAGGTACTATCACTGACATCTACCATAGCCATCGAGACGCATTCTTTAGAAGGAGCTAGAGAATTAGAAAGGGGACGAGTGTCCTGAGCCACGAGGAACAGCATCAACGATGCAAGCCGCATCTGACTTGTTTTTGCTCCTTTCCTACCAAAACCCTAAAACCCCAATCCTATACCCTAAACCCTGAGCTTGAAAACCATAAGCCCAACTTAAGAGAGAGCCCTACGGAGCCCTCACAGAGCCGGTACAAGGGTGTAGGGTTTAGGGTCGAGTTCAGGGAGTAGGGTATAACCCTTACAGCAATGCTACCCTGGAAGAAGCCATGCAGCCCTAAACCCTGAAACCTACTGCGAAGAAAGGCCTTTGCTCCCGGCAGTGGCAAATACATGCTCCACACCGTTCTCGCCACAGAGCCGGTGTAGGGTTTAGTTATACAATGTAAGCCAAAACTCTAAACCCTAAACCTTACGTATATTAAGTCTATATTAAACTCCAAACCTAAACCTTCTATTAATCCTATATTGAACCCTAAACCTTATAGTACGCTTGTCTTACTATATCCTTAATCTTATATTCAACTTATGTTAGATCCTAAGCCTTATATCAAACGTATATTAAACCCTGAACCGGGTCTTGGGGGGTTTGGGAGCTGGTCCTTGTACGGGTAATTTTCCAGGATTTCCGGTGTCTTCAAGGGTTCTGCATGAACGGATTTACGGTGTCTTCAAGGGTTCTGTATGAACGGATTTACGGTGCTTTTAAGGGCTCTGTATGAATGCCAGTCACCGTTCAGGGCTTAGGAAGGTTCGAGGAATTTTACGAGCCTTGCCGAGGGTTTGCAGGGCTGAGTAGAGGCTCATACCTTAGAAGCTGCCCCCACCCTGTAATAGTGGTATAATAGGAATATAATAGGGCCCTAATATCATCCTATATAAACCTTATGGTTGCTATTACAGGGTGGGGGCAGCTTCTAACTCATACCGTTAAGGGGAGGCAGGTTTTGACTCGAGAGTTGAGCCTCCAACGGCTCCTTTCTTAAAGTTCGCACAACCCTAGAACCCTGAAACCTTTTTAGACCCTAAACCCTGAACCCCCAAACCCTAAACAACCCTATTAAACCCTACTAAACCCTACCAAACCCTACTAAACCCTACTAAACCCTACTAAACCCTACCAAACCCTACTAAACCCTACTAAACCCTACTAAACCCTAAACCCTAAACCCTGAAGCCTCAACCCTTTAGGGTTTGGGAAGCTCCGGGCGGGTGTCGGGGTTCGTTCGGGACGAGAGCCTAGGTCCCGTCCTGCAGCAAAGGTTTTAGAGGTTTAGGGTTGGGGGTTTAGGGGTTAAGGGTTGAGGGTTTGCAGCAAACGGAAGGTGGAGATCGGGAGAAGTGTATCTTCAGGGCTTTAGGGTTCAGGTTTTACGGTTATCTGCAAAGCTTCTTGAAGCCCCTCAACCCCACCTTAAAATACCAGAACCTATATACTCTGTTCGAGTTCTTTTCCTATTTACAAAATACAGGTTTAGTTGCATATATATATATAGGCACTCTATAACATATATATATATATATATGTGCGCACAATATGTATCATATGTATGTATGTATGTATGTATGTTTTTATGTATGTATGCATATAGAAATACAGCCTTGGTATGTAAATATATGTACACACATACGTACATTTATACCTATAGGAAAGTACCGGTTTTGGTAGTCAAGGTAAAACCTAAGCTGAATCTTCATTAACTCTGAGGTTGTAGGGCTTAGGGAGACGACCCAAGCAACCCAACCCACGCATCCTTTGGTCCAGGGTTCAGGCTGTGAAGTTTTCGGATCCTACAGTGCAGCGCAGAGGCGAAGCCTCAAGCTAGTCAAAGCTCGAAAGTCGATACTACAGGGGCCTTTAATTGTTGCCTATACTACTTTGCGGGGTTCCTCATTATATTTATAGTATACTTGGGCCCCAAAACCCATTCAAATTATTAAGGCTCCTATATTAGTTTGAATGTCGCCCCTGCCGTCCCCGTAAGCCCTGAACCCAGAACCCAAACCTCCAGCCCTAAATCAACGACGTTAAACCCCAAAACCCAGCCCCCTCACCCCAACACCCTAGGTCATCGTCCACAGCGGCGGCGTCAGCAGCGGCCACTACTACGCCTTTGTGCGGGTCCGCGACGGTGCCTTTCCCAGCAGCCTCAGCTCGTTTGGTTACTATGGAGGCCTTAACGACTACCTAGCCTATACTATTTTGGAGGTTCCTTATTATAGGTATAGTGTAGTGGGCCACAACGCCTTTATTCTAACGCCCTCCCTTCCTTCCTTCCTGGCTTCCTTCCTTCCTCCTTCCTTCCTCCCTTCCTTCCTCCCTCCCTTCCTTCCTCCCTTCCTTCCCCTCTTCCTCCCTCCATTTCTTACATTAAGGCCCCTAAAGTAAGGGTGTTTGCGTTTGAGTTTTAGGCTTTTCATCAGGGTCTGGATCCTAGAAGGGTTCTCTTGTAGGTCCAGGTCTTATCGGGTTTTGGTTCATGACACTGTGGCATGGCTTTGGCATCACGAGAGAAATAGAGAAGTATTCGTGGCCAGCAGCAACAGCAGCAGCTGCAGCTGTTGCAGCTACACAGCCAGTGAACAACACGGCAGAGGAACTGTTCTTCACGATACTACATAGTCTGCAGATGGAACAAGGATGTACATACGAAGGTATGGAGATAAGTAAGGTGAGTTAAAAGAAACAATTGTAGGTATGCTGACACTTTTGAATCCAAGGTTATGCCACTTATGAACCTAACAGTATTCATGCGCAACTGAACAAACAAAGAACTTAGCAAACCACATCTCAGCACAGAGAGTGAGTAAGCAAGTTGATTCAGAAGTCAAGCAAGCTCCACTGACAAGTCCCATGCGGGAAGAGCCTAAGGCCTAAACCTAAACGGAAGAAATCTGTGCCGGTGGTGAGGCGACAAGTCGCAGTGGGTCAAGTTTGATGATGCTGCTCAGCCAGCAAGCATCAGCGTTTAGGGCTTAAGGTGCAGGGTTTTAGGTTTAGGGTCTAGGATGTAGGATTTAGAGTTCCAGGTTTGAGGTTTAGGGTTTAGGCTTCAGGGTGTCAGTCGGCTTTGCTGGGTTTTTTGAGTGGAAATGTTTGCGAAGAAGGCCTTCACGTTCAAATCTGAACTACGCTGGCGGCCATTGTGATGGGTCAAGTTCGCCTTTACTGGGTTGTCGAAGATCTTACTTAGGAATCTGTGGGAGTTTCCGAAAAAAGGGGACCCCAATGTAGTACCCCAAATAGTAGGATCCCTATTATCAGGACCCAAAATAATGTAACCCTCATTTTCGGAAACTCCCATATAGGCCTGAACAACTACCCAGAGCCTCCAAAACCCCTTTATTATGGAATATACTTTAAATTATAATAGGAACCCTAATATGATTTAAGGTAGATTCCTTAATTAAGGGGTTTTGGAGGCTCTGGGTAGGATGCCTAGACCCGCGGAAACTGCAGTCAATTCTACGGGCCCTGACATCGCAGCACTCCCCAAGAGATTGGCCTGTAGCCATAAAGCCTAAAACCCGACACCAAGGCACTAAACCCCAAGCCCGAGACCTAGCGTAATATCCGAAATCCGAGACCCTTGCAACTAGGACCTTCCGCGGTTGCACGCCGCGGCAACTATTGAATCCACTAAATGCTCGAAAGCCTTAACCCTTAATCCCTTAATCCCTTAAGCCTTAAGCCCTAGACCCCATAAGCCCTAAACCCCTAAACCCTAAACCCTAAGCCCTAAACCCCTAGACCCCTAAACCCCTAAACCCCTAAATGTAAACCGAAAACCCTAAGCCCCAAAAGCTCCAAAGCCCCTAAACCCTACTTGGAGGATCATGGGACTTAGTAAGTAAGGTTATAAGTACCCTAATTGGGGTTATAAGTATAGTTACCCTAGTAATAACTCTAGTTACTAAGTCCCATGATCCTTTAAGTAAACCCCAAGCTGCTTGCGCCGTTGTGTGCATGTGGCTCACTGCTGCCGGTCTGTGCCAGCTCTCCGTCTCTTGCCGGGATTTTGGGCTTCAAGGGTTCCTTTACGGCTTCCTTCAAGGGATACTAGAAGGGGATACCATGAGGGTTACTCTAAAGCTTGCTATAAGTTTGGTTTTCGGTTGTGGTTTTGTGCTTTCGAACTTTCCCTTACCCGTGGAAGTATTGAAGTCGGGATATATTTTTTCACTTCGGGGCCGCAGGTTGTTCGGTCAGACTTCGCAAATAAACTCTTTGTCATAGTTGGGTAACACAAAATTAAACCCAATAAGAAATACAAATTTAAGTTTTTTAACCCTATCCCAAGCATGAACTAGAACTCTGAAGACACCAGCCCTGCTCTCGGGAATCCCCAGGAGTTACCGCTGTGGCTCCCAAAGCCCTGAAGTAAGCAGTACACCTTAAGTTCTAGGTGTTGGCCAGGACTCCAGAACCCTGAACCCTAAACCGTAAACCCTAAACCCTACATCTTAAACCCTAAGCCCTAAACCCTAAACCTGTCCTAAACCGTTTTAAGGCTCACTTTAGGGGTTTTGGAGTCTCTGGAACCATGAACCGCGATGGCGACGCCGCGGCGACCGTGCGGGTTTGGAAGACCTCTGGGGAGGAGCTTGCTGCAATACCCGCAGCTCGGGTCTTTTCAGCTTTTAAGGTTTAGGGTTCAGGGGTTTGGGTGTTGAGGGGTTTAGGGTTCGGGTCTTTTCAGCTTGTTTTAAGGATATGCGATATGCTGAAGATCCGAGTAGAGACCTTGTTTGAACATGTTTTAAGGTTTAGGGCGTGCCCCCACACTCGAATACCGTACCACGTCAGACGCTGAGGTTGTAGATGAGACCTGCAGGCAAATCGGACACCCAAACCGTAGGCGTAGGTGTTCCACGGCAATTTTCCATTGGACCCGCCATCCCCAAATCCCTCAACCCTACTTTCTACAGAAAGCCCGAATCCCCTCAGCCTACAAAGTGCTGTAGACGCATGTAGAATGCCCCGAGAAGCCTACACAACTTGGTAGTCATGGGTGGCAAACAGGATATCTATACAGTTCAAACCCATACTAAGGGACGTATAACCCCGCTTATAACCCCAAGGGTCCAAGTACCTAATATTTAATCCTATACTCTCCCAGATAGTAACATAGATAGCTACTATCCGAAACCTAAGTACCGAACTATTGGGTCCTTTGGACCCTTGGGGTAACTACCTATGAACCTCCAAGCATGGTTCTTCATTCGGTGGAACGGAGGAACTTTAAACCCTCAACCCCTGGTGGGCTCCTGCTTGGAGGATCATGGGACTTAGTCAGTAAGGTTATAAGTACCCCAATTGGGGTTATAAGTATGACTACCCTAATAATAGCCCTAGTTACCAAGTCCCATGATCCTTTAAGTGGGGGTTTCCTGTCCCAGGTGGAGGATCTGGGCACAGTGAAGATGCTGAAACAGCGGCTTCACAGGCTCTGCAGTTGAGGGCTTTGGGCTTTAGGGAGTTTAGGGCTTTAGGGAGTTTAGGGTTTCGGGCTCCGCCCTAAACCCTAAACCCTGTTTAGGACTTCAGGGTTTAGGGCTACAGGATTTGGGGCCTTAGGGTCATACGGCCTAAGGGTTCTTAGGGGCCCCAGCACGCGCAGAAAGAGGAAACGAGGAGCTCCGCTGGATCGTCTTTGTCGTTTAGGGCCATTTTAGTGTTTTTTTTAAAGGGTCTATAGGGGTTTACTATGAGGGTACTGTAATACAGGGGCGTTACCAATTAGAATAGGGCTTTGGGGCTTTGAGTTTTCGGGTTTTCGGTCGAGGCTTTAGAGTTTAGGGTTTTGGGTTTTGGGTATTCGGTGTTGGGTTTAGGGTTCTATAGGGCCTAGTGTTGCAAGGATCATGATGATTGGGGTCCAGGCACTGACACTCCCGATGCCAAACCCGACACACAAAGTTCCCTAAACCCTAAACCCAAAACCCTAAACCCTAAACCCCAAACCCCAAACCCTAAACCCTAAACCCCTAAACCCCAAACCCTAAACCCTAAACCCCTAAGCCCTAAACCCTAAACCCTAAACCGTGGCTCTGTCAGTTGGTGGCACTGAAGACCCCCGAATTAAGAGATTCTTTAGAAGCTGCCCCCACCCTGTAATAGTGGTATAATAGGAATATAATGGGGCCCTAATATAATCCTCTGTAATCCTTATAGTCACTATTACAGGGTGGGGGCAGCTTCTAAGAGATTCTTGTCAAGGATCCCTGTTTGGAACTTCCAAAGAAGTATACGCAGCCCCAGAGCCTAAGCACTAAACCGAACTGGCAGCCCAAAAGGAGACCAATCCTAAAGGAAACCCCAAAAGGATCCCTGCATTTCGACAGTGACATGACATGTTCCTTAATCTAGACCTCTGATTGATACGCTCTCCCCTGCGTTAAGGGTTTTAGGGTTCTTGGCAACCCGGTTCATGTCGTGTCAGAATTCAACCATGATCAGAAGATTGAAAGTACCCCGAACCCTAAACCGCGAACGTTGAGCCCTAAACGCAAAACACCGAACATGCAGGCTTTGCGGACTGTCGCGATTTAGACAGCGACTGCTGAGCAAGGAAGGCAGCGTTTTAAGTGACGATGCCATGCCGGATTTAGTAGTGTTTAGCGACAAGGTTCAGGATATACTCCTTAGCATCTAGAGCTCGAGACTCTAAATATGTAAATCTAGGAGGCAATTTGGGAAAATTGGAATTTCCCGTTATGGTTCCTCTAGAGGTACCTATTCATCAATATTTTTCAGAGCCCCAAAACTACAACCCAGAAATTCCAAACCCTAAATCCACGAGCCCGAAAGGCTTTGGGCTTAGGGCCTGAACCGGCAAGGCCGAAGCCCGAAATCCTGCTTACTAACCCGGAGGGTCCCTATACACTGCTATTATGGAATTAGGTCCCCCAAACCATAATGGGGATGGTCTTTTAGGGTCTAGTCTAATTCCACAATAGTACCCTCTGGGTAAGCTCGTACCATCGCAGCCCCAAACATTTGAACCCGAAACCCTGAACCATCGAGGCCGAAAGCCCCAAAGACCTACCACACCTAAGCCCCTAACTCCTACAACTCTACACCCTTAAACTATCTTAGACTTTAAACCCTAAACCCTAAACCCTACACCCTAAACCCTAAGAAGCCTTAAGCCATTAACCTCTTGCAGCCCAGAGGGCTTGCAACCTGCCTGTCCCCCGAGGATGATTTGCTGGACGGTCCAGCGGATGTCCAGCTCGTCCTCCTACCCTTCTGCAGCTCCTTGGTTCTCAAAGGTGTAGTGCTTAGTCTTCAACTTGTTGTAACAGTTAGTGTTTTGAAGGATTATTCTTTGCTCTGTCTTTTGTTGAATTTGTGAGATTGTCATAGTTATGGTTGCAGGTTGGGTTTCAGGTGGGGTGTCTAAGGTTTCCTAGGTCTTCCCGGTTCTACCGCCCAAGGGCAAGGGCCGAAGCAGGGGCATGGGCTGGGCAGGGGGCAGAGGCAAAGCAAAAGAAAACGCCGCCCAAAACCTGCCAAAGCTCCGCACCCAGAACCCAAAACAATTTCCCTAAACCCCTAAACCCTTAAACCATAAACTCCTAAACCCTAAACCCGAAGCCCTAAACCCCTACACCCCTAAACCCCTAAACTCCTAACCCCTAAACCCCTAAACCCCCCAACCCCGAAACCCTAAACTCCTAAACGCCCAGGGTTCAGGGGTTTACGGTTTAGGCATTTGGGGGTTTAGAGGTTTAGAGGTTTAGGGCTTAGGTTTTGGGGTTTAGGGGTTTACCTAGACCCCCCAACTACCCTCTAATATACACCAAACACCCACTATTCAGGGTCATAAGGGCTCCACTAAAGGGCCCTTGGGGGGTCCTGGTAGGGCTTATAGATCCCTTAAAGGAACCCCTTAAAGGTACCCTTATAGATCCCCTTAAAGGAGCCCTAGGATATATATCATCAACCGTAGTTACTAGGGTTTTGGAGCTCCGAGGTTCGGATCTGGCTGAGACCTCGAGGCCGAGAGTGGCTTTCGGCACCTTCCCAGGGGGGGTTTTGGGGTTCCTTAAAGGGATCTATAGGGTTTAGGGTTTAGGGTTCAGGGTTTAGGGGTTTAGGGTTGTAGGGTTTAGAGTTTAAGATTTACGGTTCAGGGCCGTTTAGGGTTTTGGGGTTTTAGAGGTCCATTTTTATTGTTTAGGGTTGTAGGGTTGTTAGCGTTCGTTTAGGGTCTAGTGTTTTAGAGTTCAGGGTTTAGGGTGTAGGGTTTATAGCGTTCAGGATTCAAGATTTCAGGTTTAGGGTCTATGGTTTTAGAGTTCAGGGTTTAAAGGTGTAGGGTTTATAGCATTCGGGATTTGAGATTTAAGGTTTAGGGTCTAGTGTTTTAGAGTTCAGGGTTTGGGGTGTAGGGTTTATAGCGTCCAGGGTTTAAGATTTAAGGTTTAGGGTTTTAGAGTTCAGGGTTTAAGGTTTAGGGTTTATTATAGTGTTTAAGGTTCATTGTCTAGGGTTTAAGGTTTAGAGCTTCAGGTGTTTATGGGCTTAAAAAAGGGTGTATCATGTTGCTTCAGGGGTTTATACGGCTGTTTATCGGGCCAATGGCAAACCCACCCGCTCGCCCCCACACACCCACCAAGACCCAACCTTCACCCGCCCCCACGAAACCCAAGCCCTACACCTTAAACCCTCAACCCAAACCCCAAATCCTAAACCCCAAAATCCTAAACCCTAAACCCCTGAACCCCGAAACCCCTAAAACCCAAACCCCAAACGCTAAAGCCCGAAACCCTAAACCCCCTAAAGCCCTAAACCCCTAAACCCCCAAACCCCTAAACCCCGGAGACCCTCCAGGTTGGTCCTTGCAGCCTCGGCTGGGCAGCTTTCGGACCTCGAGGAGATCCTCCAACGGCCCATGGATCCCAACGGGACTCCTCGGACTTAGTAGCTCTAAGGTGTTCCTGTAGGGTTCCTTTAAAGGGATCTATAGAATCCCCAGGGGTTTAGGGGTTTGGGGTTTAGGGCTTTAGGGAGGGGTTTAGGGTTTGGAGTTTAGGGGTTAAGGGTCATAGAGCCTACGGGACTCCTCGGATCAAGAGAGTACTTGGAGGGTCGGGGGACTTAGTAACTCTAAGGGGTTCCTTAAGGGCCCCTTTAAAGGGATCTATAGGGATTCTGTAAGGGTATACGGTTTAGGGTTTAGGGGGACCTGGTAACTGGTTATTTTAGGGACTTATAAGTACCATAACCCCAATTAGGGTCCCTTCTAGGGTACTTCTAAGTCTACTTATTACCTACTTACTAAGTCCCCCGACCCTCCAAGTAGGGGTTTAGGGGTTTACGGGTTAAGAGTTTTGGGTTTTGGGTTCAGGGTTTTGGGTTGAGGGGTTTAGTGTTGAGGGGGTTTGGGTTTAGGGTTTAGGGTTGAGGGGTTTAGGGTTGAGCCTAGGGTCTGGAGTGCCAGTTGTATTCAATTGGGTGTTTTTTGGGGCTGTCACCATAAGAGTACAGGTTTTTATACAAGAGTCACACGGGGTTTCGGCATCGGCGGGTTGTAGGGTGGTTTTCCACCAAACCCAAAAGTTTAAGCGACAATTCTTCGTGTGTGTGTTTTTTGGTGGTGCTGTTTTACCCCAAACCCTGAACCCTAAACCCTTAACCACAAACCTTGGTAATTATCATCGGTATTCCTAAACCCTAAATCCTGAGCCTAAACCATAATCCCTAGTTCTTATTATTGATATTCTTCTTGGTTGTTATTGTTATACCCTAAACCCTGAACTCTATCTTATAGTGGACTTGTCAGGATCTCAGCGAAGGGGAGTACGGCGCTCATCACGGCCTCGATGGAACAGACGGATGCTCGGTTCCCTAAACCCTAAACCCAAACCCCAAGCCCCTAAACCCCAAACCCCAAAGCTTAAAGCCTAAACCCAAAAAACAACCCTAAACCCCTAAACCCTTTGAGGGTCTAAGCACCTAATGATCATATACCCTCGAACATAATACGGACCTACTTTCACTACAATCCTAAAAACCGAGTACCTAAGTATTCGGTCCTTTGGACCCTTGGGGTACACCCTAAATCCTAACCCAGATCTTCCACTGGGCTGCTGGGGTTTATGGTTTCGGGCTTTAGGGTTCAGGGCTCTGGGTGTGGGGTAAAGACATACTCTTTACATTCCTAAGCCGCATTAGGTCATTAGGTATCCGATCATACTTTAATGGTATATTCAGTATACTCCTTAGGTGAGTGATATTATTGGGAGATCCCGAAATTTGGCACACTCTTTTCCTCTTCTTTTCGTGGTTCTCTTAAAGGTTGGCGAAAAAATTAGGAAAGGGAATCCTTGAACCCAACCCCAAAGCATCCTTTCCCCACGCCTTGGAAAAGCCCCCTGCCCCCCCCCCCCCGCAGCACTTTCCAATAAGTCCAGGATGTGACGGTTGTGAGCTTGCTGCTTGAAGCTGGCGCAGAGCCGAACATGGCGGATGAGGCGTGTCTCGAAATGTAACAGAAGGCGCCCGAAAGCCTCAAGCCCGCACCGGAAATCCCTGAAACTCTTCACTCTACGTGCTGAGACCCTGAACCTGCACCCTAGTCCCTCATTCTGAATGCTTCGGTTGATGATATGAATCCTGCATGACCCATAATAAGGAATATACCATATAATTCTCGTAGTTTAGGGCCCTTAAGGTAATGCAGGGTTTATACACCCCAAACCCTAAAACCCTATAGATCCCTTAAAGGAGCCCCTTAAAGGTACCCTTATAGATCCCTTTAAAGGAACCCTTCGTTGGACCCTGTACTCTGAACCTACAACTCTACACCCGGAGGCCCGAGTTCTGAATCCTGATCCTTCGTTTCGGTTTAGGGTTTTAGGGTTTAGGGTTTAGGGTTTAGGGTTGAGCTTTCTAGAGTTTGGGTTTGAGGATGAACCCTTCATGTAGGGGCCTAGTAATTACCAATCCTATTTTAGGGGTTCCTTTTTGCATTTCTAGTATTATCGGCCCCCAAACCCTATTCTAATTCTTAAGGTCCATGTATTAACCCTGAACCACTCAAGCCTGAAGGTGGGTCTCACTGCGCTTCTTGCGGCATCCACGCAGGGGAACCTGGAAGTGGTACGATTGCTCCTCAAGGATGGGGCCAAGAAGGATCTGGCAGACAATGACGGCATGACTCTTGGAGAGAGTTCAGGCGTTCCTTCAGGCTTCTATATTGGTTCATCCAGGGCTTCTATACGGCGTCAAACGGGGTTGGTTCCTGATACTTGTCAGTGTTGGGACTAAAGGGCTTTGGGCTTCGCGACTGGTAGGTTTACCGATCTGTTTGAATTTCTCGAAGTTGAGTCAGACCTTTAGCCTCCATTGTAGTTTTGTTGGTTAGCCAAAATCTCTATTATAGGGTCCTAACCATAAAACTGGTTAACCAAAAAAAGGAACTATAATGGAGACTATAGGCAGTTTGGGGTCTAGGATGAACAGGCCAGAGAAGCTTAATTCTCTGTCTTTCAGCCCTGAGGGGGATGCTCCACATAAACCAACTACCCTAAACCCTAAACCTTAAACCCTGAACCCCAAAACCCTAAACCCCAAAACCCTAAACCTTAACCCGAAACCCTAAACCCCCCCAATACAACTGTGTTAAACTCTTCAAGATGCCTCGATGGAATCCTTCAAGAATCTGAGGAACCTCGAAGAGACCTGAAACCAGCATGACAGACAGACGTTAGAAGGGGCCCCCACCCTGTAATACTGGTATAATAGGACTATAATTGGGCCTTAATATAATCCTTATAGTCACTATTACAGGGTGGGGGCCCCTTCTAACCTGAAACCAGCATGACAGACTGCTTCTGCAGGATGTGAGGAACCATACAGAGTCCTTTCAAACAGAATCCTAAAGGAACCCTGGGAGCAGCCTGATGGACTCATCCGAAACCCTCAAATAACTGTCTTGCTTAGTTAGCAGCTGGTTGGGGTTTGTATAATCCGACTATAGTTGAAAAGCTTAACCTTGTTTTGGCTAGGGTACTCAGCTCCTACAGTAGAAGCCCAAAAGTTGGAAACCCCATAGCCTCAGTCCTTATAAGACTAATGTATAGGGAATCCCAGCACCATTTGGCCTTTATCCGGTTTCCAACTTTATGGGGTTCACTGTAAAGTCCCCAAGCATTATAGTATCCTTAAGGGAGGGGGGTCCAAGGGGGGTATATAGCCTAGTGATCCCTAATTCTCCCTAGTACTCCCGAAGGTTCCCTTACAGTCCCCTAAGGATTCCTTATACCCTCCCCCCTTGAACCACCCTCCCTTAAGGATCCTATAAAAGCAAATCCTTAAAACATTCCGCAGTGGAATCCTGAAGCACTCCGCAAAGAACCTTTATAGAGTTTAGGGTTTAGGGTTTAGGGTTTTAGGGTTTGGGGGCCTTCACCGACTCCATAAACCCCCTTGAAGAACCCTTTATACTTGGAGGATCATGGGACTTAGTAAGGTTATAAGTACACTAATTGGGGCTGTAAGTTTAGTTACCCTAATAATAACCCCGGTTACTAACTCCCATGATCCTTTAAGTAGAGCCTTGAAGTAAATCAAGGACTGCTTTTCTCTCAGCTTCTCGCCGGGGCCACGTGGACATCGTGCGCCTGCTGATCGACGCAGGGGCTGACATGAATGTAGCGGACAGGAGCCGATTCGGGATTTGGGGTTCAGGGCTGAGGCTTAATATAGGGGCTTACATAATGACCTATACTGTTTTAAGGGGCCCCAAAACCCTATTCTAATCAAACTATTAAGCCCCTACATTCAGGGTTTGGGGCTAACCCCGAGCCCACATCCCGAAGCAACCGCAGCCTAAGCTAAGTCTAAAACCCTCAGTGAAGCTTGGGGTTTCGAAGTGAGGTCCGACAGCCTCGACCCTAAGCCTAGTAGCAGAGTAGGTAATCTTTATAAACAAGGGCAGTATAGTCCCAATAGAATCCCTATATAATCAAAAAGGTTAACCTTTAGTTCCCCATGATACCCGAGAAGTAGGCAACTGGTCGGGGTACAGGTATAGGTTTCCAGATGTCAGTTTGGATTTATGGACAAGAGAGGGGGGGGGTCTTGCAGTATCGAGTGCCAGTTGCCGACCCACCCCAACCTCCGCCGCAACCCCAAAACCACTCCTACATGACCCATAATGAGGAATATACCATAATTCCCACAGTTTAGGGTCCTTAAGAAAATACAGGATTTATATCATCAACCGTGGTAGCAATCGATGATCATGGCGAGGAAGAAGAAGATGATGGTGCTGATATGATGTTGATGACGATGATGGTAACGTTGATGTTGAGGACGATGATGAGCCTATACCCATGCCGTGTGGGCACTACATTCAGCACTCCCATGCTCTCCCGATGGTATCTGTGTATATACACATTGCATACACATATATATATATATACACATCTATGTGTATACATATAGATATATATGTATGTGTATGTGTATACGTATAAGTAGATGTGCAGTTCACAGTTCACAGGAATGGCTGGACTGCTCTTCTCTGGGCGTCCTTCAACGGCCTTGCGGCCATAATTCGCGTTCTGCTGGATGCCGGCGCTCGAGTAGATGTAGCCGGCAACAACAGAGACACAGCCTTACTGTGGGCTTCTTCCTGTGGTCAGCTGGAAGCTCGGAGGGTGGAGCTTTTAGGGCTGTTGGAGCTCCTAGGGTTTAGGACCTTAGGAGATTTTTGCCGTCAGGTGTTGGGGAGGTTGGCAGAAGAAGCATCGCTACGGTTGCAGTTAGACATCTAATCTCCACGCATTAAGTGTCTCGCAGCCACTGAGGAAGTTGCGCGGATGCTTGTCGAGGCTGGTATTGACAAGGATGCTTCCGACTTGGATGGTGATACTGCTCTGCTCATCGCAGCGCGGAATGGTCACGCGGAGGTCGTTCGCTTCCTGCTTGAGGCAGACAAACTTTTTTCCTAAAGTCCCATACCCTAAACCCTAAACCCTTAACTTCAAGAATTAGCCCAAAATCAAAAGTCCTACACGCGACACACAAAATCCTCTCGTGTGCCTACGTACCATCAATGGCAGGATCCTTATTAGAAGCCCTTAGCCCTCAGCCCTGTAGCCGAAACCCGAAGCCCTACACCCTCAGCCCTAAACCATCAACCCTAAGCCCCAAACCCAAAACCTGCGCAAGACCTAAAGCCTAAATACACCCTGAGCTTTAAACCCTGAACAAACCCTAAACCGTATAAGCCGTCGGCATGCTTACGAGGCCACGAAGGCTTGCTTAAAGGATCATGGGACTTAGTAACTAGGGTCATTATTAGGGTAACTATACTTATAACCCCAATCAGGGTCCTTTAAGTAGCCACAAAGTGATCGCTTTGAAGCCTCGCCGCCTCAGGCCGGCGCGGACGCAAACTGGCAAAATGCAAGAGGCCAGACGAGGGGTTTCGGGGGCTTAGGGGCCCTAGGGGGTTCAGGGGCCCTAGGGGGTTCAGGGGTTTGGGGGGGTTTGGGGGGGTTTGGGGGGGTTGAGGGGGTTGAGGGGGTTTGGGGGGTTTGGGGGGTTTGGGTTTGGACATATTTAGGGGTTCGGGGTTTACGAGTTTAGGGGTTTAGGGGGCTCAGCTCTCGAATCCTACTTCCCAAACCCCTTAAGCGCCAAACCCAAGGCCAGAGCCCAGAGCCCAGAACCCAGCAGCTGCCAGCCCCACATGGGAGATTCCGGAAATGAGGGGTAACTTATTTGGGGGGTCCTTATAATAGGGGTCCTACTGTTTAAGGTACTACATTAGGGTCCCCTAAATTCGGAAACTCCCAAATCAAGCCCTGAAGCCCCAAACCCCAAACCCTGAAGAACACCTCCCCAGAGAGCCCAATACCCCTTAATGAAAGAATATACCTTACGTCATAATATTATTAAGGCCCCCCCTATAATTTGAGCAATATTTCTTAATGAAGGGATATTGGGCTCTCTGGGTCTTTACCAATAGCAAGCGAAGAACACGATCACCAAAAATCAGCTGCTGAGGCCCTTCGACCGTTGAACCTTAAAGCCCAAACCCCAAAGACACCCCTTAACAAGCAAAGCAAGAAAACACCCAAAGACACCCCTTAAACAAACGAAGTATTGAAAAGCCTAAAGACAGCTCCTCATGCTATGTAAGTTTTTGAAAGCCTGCAGCTTAAGTTGAACAAGCACCCTCAGGCCGTTCCGCTCTCCACCTGGCGGCTCGATCCGGTGCGCTCGATGCCTTGGAGGTGTTGCTAGGAGCCGGGTTGCGCCTTGGGCTGGACAAAGGGGGGGCTCTTTGAAGGCTCCCTTGAAGGGGATTTCGGGTTCCGGTTCCTTTGAGGGTTCCTTTACTCCAAGGGTAAAGGGAGGGACCCTTAATAAGGACCCCTAGGTATATACCCTGAGTATAGCTATTATATACCCATTGTATAGCCCATTATAGGGTAGGAGTCCCCATTCAGAGTCCCTCCTTTTCCCCTTTGATTTACGGATTCCTTGAAGGGTCCGTGAGGTTTCTCTGCTTGCAGGTGTTGCTTTTTATCGGGTTGGTGTTTGTAGGGTTTATTGGGGTTCAGGGTGGAAGGGTTTAGGTTTCAGGGCTACCAAGGATGATAGTTTCAAACGGTGAAGGAGGGGTTTCATGTTTTCCTGTCGCACAAGATTGCGCGATAGTGTGTGTTATTACCTGTCGGTTTTGGGACTTTCGGTGACGGATCTTTCCAACTTCTACCCGCTAGCAACATATCCCATCCTGCAAGTACCCAATGCCTTAAGCCCTGGGAAATCGATATGAATCCAAGACCACGCTACATCCAAGCGCAGAATGCTCAGATGCTTAAAGTTTAAGAACGTAGTAGCTGAGTGGTAGCTGAGTGGATACACTTTACAGTTTTTGGGATAATATTACCCACTATGAAACTAAACCCTAAACCCTAAACCCCAAACCCTAAACCCTAAACCTACGCTTTTGGGGGGCTTATGAGCTCAGAATAAGAAGGCTGGTGCCGAGGCCTGGGGAAGCTCCGTAATGCCCTGTACCCTAAGGCCCTAAAGTAGTTCCTTTTTGGGGCTCATATATAGAATCCTATTAGGTAATCCCAAAAAGGAACTTTGGGCCTTTGGGTAGAGCCTTGTCGTCCCAAAGCCATGCGCACTGAAAGTCTAGAGCCGCTTGTCAGGGAGTCTATCGGCAGTTGTAGAAGGCTCACCCCTGCACGGCTTTGAATGTAGATTTCTGAAGCAAGAGGAAATGGGTAAATCCTGAACCCTAAACCCTAAACCCCAAAGCCTAAATCCCGTCTTCTAAGCAATCGAGCCTGCGGTTGTAGGGCTTCGGAACTGCGGGCCTGAGAGGATTGTCAGCTCTAGGGCTAAGGGCTACCGGTTTAGGGTTTAGGGGTTGAGGGGTTTAGGGTTTTGGGCTTAGGGTTTAGGGGTTTGGTTAGGGTTTAGGGTTTTGGTTTAAGGTTTAGGGCTTGGTAGGTGGTTTAGTCTTTTGGGCTTAAGAGTTATCCGCATGCCCATTAAGAGGTAAAGTATCGGGAAGCCTGCCATTCATCATCCTAAACCCATATTCCAAGTGTCTGGGGTTCACCCGAACTGTAGGGCTTTGCGGCCTGAGGGTGCGGGACTTAGTGCTTGAACCGGACCCCCCCGGCATATCTATATACGCGGTACAGTCACACTACCCGCTTGCTGCCAGCCTCGAGTGCCATCTTTTTCGTGCCCCCCCCCCCCCCTCCCCCCGGCATAGTCCATCACATATCTGGGAGCAGAGCAGCTTTTCGCCAAAAGAACGTCTGTGCATTGTCCTTGTAGTTGCAGGATGTGTCTCACTGCTTTGAGGTTGCAGGGTTTAGGGTTTAGGGATGTACTTTGGGTACTGCGCCCACTCACTAACAGTTGGATAATCTTCATAACATAGCTATATTAGGACCTTAATAGTAGGCCTATTATAAGACTGTTACTGTGTGGGGGCAGTACCCAAGATTTACTGTTTTGGCTTTCTTTTGGTTTGGTCTCAAGTGCTTCGGTTGATGATATAAACCCTGCATTACCTTAAGGACCTTAAACTATGAGAATTATGGTATATTCCTTATTATGGGTCATGCAGGATTTATATCATCAACCGTTACATGACTCTCGCGACCCTTGTTGTGTTGGAGTGTCGGGCTTCACGTCCTTTCTAAGCGAGACACCCCGAAGATCCCCCAAGCCTTCAACCCTATACCCTAAACCTTAAACCCTAAACCCGAGACCCTAAACCCTTAAAAGTAAAAAGACCCTAAACCCGAATCCTTAAACCCCTAAACCCCCTAAGCCCCGCAACCCCTAAACCCTTAAACTCTAAACCATAAATGTTCAACCCTAGACCCTAAACCGAAAACCCTACACCGTAGACCTTACACCATGATCTGCCAAGGAGCAAGGACCTGCCAGACAGATACGGATCGACTGAACCTAGGCTGAGTTGAGCAGTTTAGAGCTTTCGGTTCAGGGTTTAGGGCAGGGGTTCATGGTTTGGGCTTTGGGTTTGGGGCTTTGTGTCAGTTCAGGGTTCAAGGTTTAGAGCTTCAGGCTTGCTACCCTGCTGCGAGCTTGTCTTGCCGCTGTCATGCTTCTGATGAATGCTTAAGCATTACTATTGTGGTTTTTGAGTTGGTGGTCACTTGTGTTACTTGCAGCATCATGGGGATTGCCATGTTGTTTCGCACTCTCGTGCCGAGCAAACGATGGTTAGAGGTGACTTCTCGCCCCTCGTCTCTGCCGCTGTCGTCGTCGTGGTCCCGAAACCCTGACTGTAAAGAGTAAAGCCAAAAGTGTTGTTCTTGCAGCTTCTGCTGCTGGTGATGATGCTGTTGTTGTTGTTGTTGTTGTTGTTGTTGTTGTTGTTGTTGTTGTTGTTGCACACTTGTGTTTTTACAGACACAGATGCTGCAAGCATGTTGTTCAGTATTCATTGTATAGGTTCTTGTCCGCTCGGGAACATGCGGGTCTCAACAATGAGTCAAAGGGTACTATGCGGGCTCTACATAGTCCTTCTATCTACTCCCTTTTTTTATCAATGGTATAGTGTCCACAAAAGCCATATTCTGTTTATGAAGGCCCCTTACTCGATGCATCCTCAGGCACTGAGCCCTGAGACAGAGAATCCTACACTGATGCTAGATGCATGCAACAAATTCAATTTCCACGCAAGCCCACTTCAAAACTCAAAAAAATCCATGAAGTCCCTACAACCCCAAACCCTGAAAGGTACCCCAACACTACAGACAGATGCCCAAGCCCCAAACCCTAAAACCCTCAGACGTCGCACGCACCTCGGATAATCGTATAATCGTACGGCTGATGATGTAAGTCCTGCATGACCTATAATACTTAAGGAATATACCATAATTCCCATAGTTTAGGGTCCTGAAGGTAATGCAGGTTTTGTATCATCAACAGTACGTAAACCCTTAAAGGCCCAGAGCCTAAACCCTCCAGCCCCTAGCGCCTTTACGCGCTGGAACTGTAAAACCTTACTTAGAGGATCATGGGACTTAGTAAGGTTATAAGTTGTACAGTATAAGGACCCTAATTGGGGTCATAAGTATCGTTACCCTAAAAATAACTTTAATTAGTTGCTAAGCCCCATGACCCTTTAAGTATAAGCGCTTCTGATTTGTTGAAGCACTTCTCATTGCTTCATTAAGGGCCCCCTAGTAGTAGAGTAGGTAACCTTGAACCGTATGGTATAGTCCCTATATACTCCCTATAAGCCAAAAAGGTTAACCTTTAGTTCCCCATGATACCCGATGAGTACTTAAAGGGTCATGGGACTTAGTAACTAAAGTTATTGTTAGGGTAACTATACTTATAACCCCACTTAGGGTACTTATAACCCTACTTACTAAGTCCCATGATCCTCCTTATAGAACTCTTATAGAAACCCGATAGATCCCTTGTAGATCCC